CATGGGACTTAAAAAATGCCTGTCATTGACTAAAGAGACATTGTTTTAGGTAGGCATGGCAAACGAGATGAACCAGAAAACTCTAAATTGAGAAATTTGGTTGAAATATTCAAAATACCAACAGCCTGAAATAATAATAATAATAATAATAATAAAACGTCTTTATTGGGCGAAGCTTAGCATTAGCTATTCTACCACTTAACCCGTAAATATCCATCCGAAAAAATATATACCAACCACTAAAATGCACAGTTTCAACATAAAAAAAATAATAGATCAAATAAGTAAAACATAAGTAAATCAAGATTGGATGAAAGTGTAACATTATACATACATATTGATCCATATATTATAAGCAGAAGTAAGAGATAAATTTATGTAAATGATTGCTCAAAAATTATTTTTCTTAAATAATTTTTAAAATTCTTGAAATTTGAGGTTTTGGTATCAGAGGGTAAAGCATTGTACATGATATTAGCATTATAAGTAAAACATTTAGTAAAACATGAAGTTCTGTGAGGAGCAGTTGTTATCGTATTAATAAAGCGAACATCTCGTGAGTGCATAGAACCACGAAATTTCAACTTATCTTTCAAAAATGGGGGAACTGAGGTAAGTCAGAGCTTGTGAATATAACATAATAAATGCATTTTAAATAGATTAGGAATAGATAACCATTCCAATTTTATGAACGAGGAGGTAAGGTGGTCATATTTTTTCCAAGTTATAGACTAACCTGCAACATGAATTTTGAACTTTTTGTAAGCGCTTGACAGTTACTGAATCTAAAAATGGATGAATGTCGCAAGCATGTAATTTTTGAAATAATTAATGACTGTCAGAGAATTTTTTTAGTTTTGTAATCGAGAATGTGTTTGTTCAAGTATAATTGCCGAAGTATTAAAAAAGAACTTTTTGTAACATTGTTCACATGAGGGATAAAATTCAGACATTCATCAAGAGATATTATAGTTTCAGGTACTTGTATAATTTCACCATTTAACGATATGGTCGAATATTTCTTAATTTGATTTCTAGATTTTTTTAGGAGTGAATATAATTACTTTTGATTTTTCTGAATTTAATTTAAGATTATGAATTTTTGCTTACTTGTCGATAATTTGAGCCTCGGCAATTATAATATTGTCAGTATTAAAATTATTGTATAACTGCGAGTCATCTGCAAAAAACTGAATATTGCAGTGTTTAATAGCCTTATCAAAATCGGAGATATTTAAAATAAAAAGAAGTGGGCCAAGAACTGACCCTTGAGGCACTCCCGATGAATATATAGCCTCAGGAGAAGTGTTCATATCGATGACAACTCTTTGTGATCTATTTCTCAAAAAGCTGTTTATTAGAGCAACTGATGATCCAGAGAAACCATAAAATTTACATTTGGCTATTAAGATTGAGTGGTTGATGGTGTCAAGCGCTTTAGAAAAATCTAAAAGAATTAGGGAAGTGGTTTGATGGTTATCCCAAGTCCTGACAATATTGTCAGTTAGATCTAACAATGCTGCAGCAGTATTATAACCCTTCCTAAAACCGCAAGAAAATATGCCTGAGTTACCTTGGAAGAAATTAGGTTATGATTTGTTAGAATTTAAAGGTGAGAGATACTTATAATAGACTAATACTCCAAATATATTGAATTGTGAATAAATATATCACAAGTAGTAATGCGATTGGATTTCCTCAATTTACCTCAATAGCATTGAAATTTTCTTGCTAAGCATTGGCAATTTAATCCCATATTACTTATCCGACTAATGCTCAAAGCATATGTCTATAAGCAAAATTCCAGTCAAAATAAGAGAATCCTGCACATAGAAATATTTCGTCCAAAAACCTTAGGATCTGCACTGACAGCAGATACCCTGTCAGGCACATCTACTAGGCTCGTATCGTCCCTCTCTCATTTTATTCTATATCACCCAGTACAGTTTTACTCGACTTAAGGGTTTCTTCTTTTTAAAGCGTCTTCAGATTGACGATGTTTATATTTTCTTGAGAATTTTTAATCTTGTCTGTGATCCTATCGGTTCCAAGGTCTGAGGTAACTCTTACAAATATACCGTGGATTATTTATTATATCCAAAGTGCTTGGGAACAGTAGAAATCTGCAAAACACCTTAGCCCCAATTACTAAGCTTTAACTAACAGAAGTGCCACGTAGTTGTTAAAGCAAGAGGAGTCACAATTCATGATATTGCCAAGGGATAATTATAGCAAAAGAAGATAATCTAACAAGGATGTTTTTATTTGCTGTCTATTTTTCGTACAATGTGTATGTTGCAAGTTCGCCAGTGTATCCCAGAGCAAGTATAAAATGAGATCATTGAAATGCGTTTCTGACTCTAATATTTTCTGATAGTGCGTAATATGGTTTGAAAAGATGAATATAGAGAATATGTAACAGTAATAAAACCAGTAAAGCAGTCTCAAACCAATTTAAAGGGACGTAGTCGATGAAGGCAAAGGACAAATTTCAGATAGTTTGTCTATCGTTGTTTGAAAATTTTGAAAGGATCTGAATGTCCTGAGAAATGTACAACCGGGCACAGCGAGACATACCGGCATGGAGGAAGATTCTATACTCTAAAATACTGTTAGTTTCACTTGAATAGAATAGTATAGGTGGTACCTGTTGCAAATCTGAAAAAAACTCCGGCACCTTAAAACTTAAGGTATTTACATTTTCTGTGTTGAATGCTGTAACCGACCGACCTTCTTTCCTGTACGATCAATCCAATCCACAGCTTTGCTGATGACAGCAATTCATAACAACAAGCCGATCTCTGTTCACATGTTTGGGGTACTGCCACCTCGACTACGTTATCTATGCTCGATGCTGTTCAGAGAAGAGCTGTCCAACTGATCGGTGACGTCTCTAACGGACAGTCTCGGGACCCTTTCGCACCGGTGGGCCGTCGGCGATATAGCTCATTTCTACAGCTATGCCAACGGGCTTTGCTCTTCAGAGGTCTCGTCCATGATGGCGCCGCGTGATGTTACCGCCAGATAGACCGGCCTCCCAGTCTCACATCCAGAACTGGCGAATACGACCTCTCCTTTATCCCTAGGGTATCAAGATTGAGAAACAATCTACATGAGGAGGCTTTTCCCAGTTCTACTAACCTTAGGCAGTTCAAAAATCGGATTAACAAAGTTTCTTTAAGCTCCTCATATCAGCCGCGGTGCCCTGGCATCTAGACCTCTGCCACTTTGTGGTAGCGGTGGTAGCTGGAGTTAGGTGACGTCATCACTCAGTCTCACTCTCCATCAAGATACTCCTGCAAATAATAAACTTCTAGGTGCTATTTTTTAAGATATTAAAGATAGTGCTGTACGTGTGTCGGAAGAGCAATAATAATGAGGACAGTTTATCGCCGAATAAGGTCTTTCGAACTGTTTTCATACCGTCCCCATCTTGTACTACCTCTAACCCCACAGCATCGTCGGAAACGATTGGTATGGAGTAGGGAGATACTTGAATGGAAAATGAAATGGAATTCAGTCTTGTTCAACGATGAGTCCAGATTCTGTTTGAATACACATGATGACCAAGCAAGAATAAGGAGAAACGGCAATATTCATCGCACTGTGGGTGTTATGGTATGGGGTGCCATTGCTAATGGTAGCAGGTCACGATTAGTGTTCATTCGAGGTAGCATGACTGCCCTATATCCACGAACTTTCACGACCACATCTGCTTCCCTTTTTGGGCACATTGCAAGATCCACTTTTTCAGCAGGACAATGCACGACCTCATGTCGCACGTGTTAGTTTATACTTTTTAGAAGCGTCCGGAGTAAATCTGCTTCAGTGTCCTCCTCGATCATTTAGAGTTCTAGCTGTTTGGTGGATTTTTCTGCGTGTACATAAGTTGGTCGGCCGGCGTGCGGCTGCACCGCTGAGCGGCAACGTCGCACGCGCGTACGGCAGTACGACCTGCCAACAGCGGTACGACGTCAGCGTGAGCGCATCCGAGGCGAAATGTGGTCGCGGCAACGCGGGGCGTGATGGCGAAGCAGCATCACGTCTTCCAACGCCGGACGCTTGACGTTGTAGCGGGGGCGGCGTACCGCGTTCAGCTGGCTTCTCCGCGAGCTGTAACCCAGCCGTACCTCTAGCGTGATACCCATGCTCATGTTAGACTGCAGGGTTTCACAACCTTTTTTTTTTGTTGATTTGACATTATATGGGTACAAAGACTTTAATTTTAATTCTAATAAAGAAACTTTAAAGGTTTAAATAAACTAATAAATGTTTTTTATCGACAAACTGGAATACAATAAGAGTAGGTACTAATGAGACACTTGATATTGCATGTTCTGTACCAGTTGATTGAATCTAGGTTCTGTTTTTGCCAGAGCTATCATCAGGTCGCTATCGACATCAAGTCAATTTCGCTGTTTAGTTTTAATTAAAACTAGAGCCGAAAAGCCTGTCTCACATAAGTAAGTTGAAGAAAAAGGAACTAGTATTCGTAAAGCAAAAGAGGCAACTGTAGAATTAACAGGCAATCTGTTGATCCAAAATTTCTCCAATGTTAAAAGATGGAAGTCATCTTTTATGAGCGAATCAGGCTTCATTTCTAGAAATTTTTCCTGAGCTTTTTCTGATAATTGTGAAACATCGACAACAAATGGATTTCTTATCATGTGCCATATCGGTGACTCTGAATTGATGTCTCGATAGTATCGGCTTGCAAATGAGTTTTTATGTCAGCTTTTAAATTTGCATCCAGTATGTTATTTTTAATTGCTTCGAACAGCCCAGAAAAAGATATAACAATTTCAGAAGACATTTTTGGATTCCAAAGTTGAAGCTTTGATATTAACCCCTGAATATAATCATTATTGCTTATTATAGTGTTTTTTCTGCCCTGAAGTTTCAAGTTTAACTCATTCAAGTAGTCAAATATGTCAGTTAAATAAGTCCACCTCCATTGAAATCTGTCATCTTTGAACATTGTCAAGAAATCGTGTTTTTCTTTAAACTTCTTTCATTTTATGAAGGCGAGCCAACATGTTGCCTTTGGACAGCCAAAGTGCTTCTGTATGGAGCAGAAGAACTTTGTGATCAGAATCGAGATCCTCGCAAATAAAAGTAAATAACCGACTGTTCAAAGCGCTGCTCTTGATGTAGTTTACAATACTTATGCCGAGTTCAAAGTCTGGCGTGATTTCTGTGGCAATGTTTTGCGGGATTTTTTTCCTTGAGCTTTTTAGCTAAGCCCGATTTTACACCTATCATTGCAGGTGCGCCAAGTGTGCAAAGTCCTCTTCCAATCCAAATCATTTTTTTTTCAACAAAATTTGACATTGAATTAAATATATCTTTATATGTAGTACCTGCTGTCAAAGACCGGGAGTACAAAATGTCTTCTTGAATGATATCTCCGCCGATGTAACGAACATAAACTATTAACTGTGCACAATTATTAACGATGTCAAAAAATGGCGATAACTTTACTTTGTTAATTATTTGTGACTCTGTGATTCTATGCTTGACTGTGTTATCCGAGATAGAAATATGCTTCATTTTTTGCTCTGCATCTTCTCCTAAAATTATCTACGTGGCTTTTAGGATACATGGTTTTATTAACTCTTGACCGATACTATGAGGTTTCTGCTTTGCTATCACAATGAAGCTTTGAGATGCTTCGATACAGCTGTGTGATAACTTCCCGATTTATCCAGTCTCATCCGCTTGAGTGATTCTGCTTTAGAAGAAAAAAACTATTTCGTCTTGAAAACCAGAGTAGGATGTTGTTGCTTCAAAAGCCTTTCAAGGCAATTGGGCCTCATACTATCATTACTTAAAACTTTCGTACATATCACATACTCAGGCAATTGTAACTCGTATTTTTCTATGAAAGTAAATCCTAACTTAACGTAATCTTTGGAAAATTTTATTTTTTTCGCAACCATTTTGCACCTATAACAAGGAAACAAATAAGTAATAAATAAATAAGCAAAATACCTACATGTAATTACTAATCGTATGCCCATTATTTTATCATAATAACGTAATGTATTCAACAGTATATTGGCCAACGGAAGATTTATATTTTTGAAGGCAGGCTGACGTTATAATAGACTTTAAATACATTTCGATTCAATATTAGGTACTTAAAGTTCGTCGTTTCAAAATTATTTCGCCACATTGGCTTGATTGTGATGTTGTAAAAAAGTCCCAATGGCCGATATATGAACGCGTCTCCACTCAATCAACAATTTAATAATTTAAACAAAAATGGTAACTGAAGCTTTTAAATACACAAACATACCTTTTTACAGTGAGACACAATAATTGGACACATTCAAACAGATTTCTCAAGAAAACATGTACATCAAAACGACACATGTTTCGCAGGTTTGTGAGAATGAATGTCACAGAGGCTCATCCGCGTCTGGTAGGTACACAGGTTTTTTAAGTGATGAATGTTAAGCGGAGCGCGGCGGGAGTGCGCGCGGATTTCATGTTGGGACTTGTCGCAACTTGTATAAACTGCGATTGGCGACGCCGGGTTCTGAAACAGCGGTTGACAGGATAGGTGAATATGATATCTAATTTCTAATTTTATGCGTGTAAATTAAGCATTACATTGTAATGTTATTTGTTGATGTTGTTCGTTTATTTTTGTTTATTTTTTCTTTCTAAAATGCAAACGCTTTGCCGCCCCCTTGACATCTCTCTATGCCCCCCTTGGAAGGCGCGCCCCTCTGGAGATGCGGTAGTCTCACTAAGATTTTGAATTGAAAATAGGCTTTCAAAAGTAAATGGGAATATTGTTTCTGGTTTTGAACCCTTTGCGGCTTACTGACATCATCACCGTACGATTACCTTGCTGATATCTTAAGAAGAAACACAATATTAGATATGCATGAGGTTAGTTTTAAATGACTTCTGAAAGGAAAGGTTACGGAAGTGTATCACTAATTAGTTCTACTTATGTGTATCATTATAACAGATTCACTGTACTTACGTGTAAGTCTCGACAGAGTAGAGTAGAAATCTGGGTTAGAGGACAAAATTAGGAGTGACATGCGGATGACGTTTCTTCATTTACAATTTTTATGACGTCACATCATGGCCGATAGTGCTTCCCCCGTTTCGTATTAAAAATGAAAAAAAAATTTTTTTTATTTAAATTGACACATATCTGTTGTAGCTTCTTAGAGAATTGGCTTCTTCTCAGCCTATTTCTCTAAAAGACTGAAACCGCCAGTTACTTAGATAAACAGCCAGGAGGAGTCATTCAGTAAGAGAACAACTAGGTGAACAATGTCTAATAAAAAGTCATTCCAATATTCTATATAAAACCATAGTTAATATGTTCAGTTTGTGAAAATCAAAAGCCCGCCTGAACGATGTCTGGTAGACGTCTCAGGGCGCTCCACTACACTTTCACGACTTTCTTGATATTTTCCAGAGTGGGAACAGTTCGAACACGGCCCGACCTTGGCAACTCTTAAACTTCACCTACGGACGCGTTGTGGGATCGTGTAGCGCTCCATGATGAATTGGACACATGTGTTTTAAACAACTACTACGGCGCCACCTACTAAAACGCGTGTATGAAAAATGGCGCGAAATTTAAATCAGTCAGTTAAATATTGGCGACCCTGTATATGCAATCGCGGTTACAATATTTGAAGTCTGTATATTTACTTGTAGCATGTAGGAGTTGGATAAGATTGGTCATAAATCGTGTAAACTAACAATACAGAACAAACAACTAGGGTTCAAAGAAATCCTGATCAAATAATGATGCTGTCATGGCCTCATGGTTGAGACAAATTATCACGATTTGAGCTCGGGAAGCTAATAAGTAAAGTAATCGATTTATTTTCCTAAGAAAAGGGATGCAGCTAAAATCGTAGTAACAATTTACCTTTTTTTCTTGTCACTGAAAATGAGAATGACCTAGCTACTAATTCTGGTAGCAACTACTATTCTCTTATACATGCGCCTTTACCAATCGAACTAAGCGTGTGTCATTTCGAATCAGGTAGGTACTACCTGCACCTTTTTTCCCGCTCTGGCAAATCAGACAGGTTCCGCCGATGGTGGCGTGATGTCCGTGACGTCAGCGCTGGCAAGCGCGGCAGAGAAGTGGAACAGGGATGCGGGGCACGGGGAAATGCAGGCGATGCGGCCACGTGTTCCTCAGTACCGCCGGCACCCCTCCCCAACTTCGGTCCGGTACTCTGGCCTGTACTATGCGACCCACAGATCAAGGACAGTTTTACGAGCTCCTGCATATAGTACTTGTTGTCTTATTGTACCGGCCCAGGGCCGTACTCGCACAAGATGGACATAAGTTCAATATCCTTGCTACTGGAATATAAGCTGAATATGTTTGTTTTCCGTTCCTGTGATAAGAATGTTGTCTCATGCTTTTTAACAATCATCAGTATGGTATAAAGGATGGAGAACAAACAATATACACAAGCTTACTGCTATGCCAAGTTTTGAAAATCGGTCCAGTCATGGCGGAGCTAGGGACAAAAATAGAAGAATAGAAAAATAAAACCTAGCGTTTGTTCTTTCACATTTGAGTATGTCCTGATCATTTTCAGAAACATTTCGGGCTCAAGAATCGAGGGATGTATTAGGTGGTATTGTTGATGATGGCAACCTTCATACGCGAAATCCTGCATCGCCAGCGTTCTCTATCTCTAGTTATAGTATGGTTGACTGATGTGGTTCAGCAACGTTGCCAGTTGGTTGATACTTAGGACAGGAAAGAAACTAGCTTCAGCGCTATCAAATGGGTGGGGACTATGAAGTATGGACAACGGTATCGGCCTGTTTGTTTGACTTGATACGTTTAATTTCTTTGTCATACATGTTTTGTACTAACTCAGAGTGATTGACTTGTGCCGAAAGTAATCCTTCATATAAATTCATGATAGCATTGAGTGGGAGGTGCAGAGTCATCCTTATAACAACGAGAAATATAAGTAAAATTTTTTTACTGAGAAACTAATTGCAGAAAGTTAGCAAATATTCTTGCATCTGCGTATTTGACATGCGGACCCTAACGATTTTCTAAGGTGAGCCCTGAAGCTGAAGTGAGTCTCTTTATGAGATAGCCTTAAAGGTCCTACTTTCAACCACCACAAATTAGGCCTTGCAACACAGTCGTGGGAGGGGATTATAATTGTCAAATGCTATGGGGCTTATACTGTTGACAAAAAATGGTGATCATAGTTTCCAAAGTCAATTATGCATATGTCTAGCCAAAATCTGTTCTCCGTCATTTTTATATTGAATGACATGACTTTCAAAACACAAACTGAACTAGAAGCCTAGCAGTTTTGAAATGTATATTCACTTTTAACTCTAGAGTACGGGACATTCGTAAAATTTACGATCGACAATATTCGACGTATTATTCCGCATTTCCGGATAGCGTATCAGGATGAGATTCTTGGTACCTTCCTATTTAGTTCTCATCTTGACTTTGGTTTAAGCAACATCGTGTATTTGTCAAGTGCAACGGAGATTTTGCACTTTCGTCGTAAATTTTACGATAGTCCCCTGTTACCGTTTGTAGGTTTTCGCGAAGCTGATTCTGTAAAAAGCGGTTTTGCTGACATTTATTTGTGAGGTACGGTGTATTTCTGTTTTTTATACTTACGGCGTTCTGAGGACATGTTCTTCTAGTGAAATGACTCCTGGTCCTTATCTCAGGCAGAATTGGAAGAAGTAGTGAGAAAAAATACAGAGGGAGAAGCCAATGATCCAGATCCATTTGAGGATGGTTGGGAACAGGATAATCTTGTAGTAAAATCGATGAAGGGATCAGATGATTCAAAGTATGGTATAAAAATCGTTTTGCTGTGTGACTCCTCTACAAGCTATTTGGTGGATGCTAGTCCATATATAGGAAAAAGTATCAGAACGAATGCTTTGCCGCTTATTACCTACTTTGTAAAGGAGCTTACAAAATCTGCCCATGGAAGTAATGGAAGTGTTACCATGGACAATTGGTTCACATCCGTCAGTTTCGCAGATGAACTACTCCAATATCCTTACAAACTGACGATAGTTGGAACATTAAGAAAGAATAAAAGGAAAATTCCTCCCGAACTGCTTGAAATAAGGCAGCGAAACGCAAATATATAAATGTTCTGTTTTGATCAAGAAAAGGTATTACCTGAAATCTCTAATCGTAAAACGTATTTTTTCCCTACTCAAAAGAGACGGACGACAACGACGTACTGTGAACAGTGTAGACATCCAATCTGTGGTGAGCACCGAGGAAATATATGCAAGAAATTGTAGTGTTAAATGAAGGGCTTGGGGCAGTAAGGGACCTAAGCCTCATTGGGTTTATTTTGAGAAAAAAGGCATTGTAAGTTTTGTGTAAATCCTGAAATCAGGTTTTTTGCAACAATCGGCTAGAACTGATGCAATACATTTCCAACTCAGGTAACTAGGATTTGGTGGCGACTAATTCGAAAAATTGTGACACATTTCCGTAGAAAAAATTTATTTTTGAAAATTTTGTGGCTTGGTGCCTTATTACAAAAAAAAATAATGCATTCTGATGATAGCTTGAATCACTCATTTAGTCCAAATTCACTTCTTCATCATCGCCATCTATATCTTCAGCCTCTTCTTCTCCTTCCTTCGGCTGTTCACTGCCTGGCTCTGCTTCAATTGTATTTCCTACAATATCAACAAAAAATTGCTGACTAATCGGCGGGATATATTTTAGAAGCTTTTTCAGATCTTTGATCTTCTTGTCATTCAGTGCTAGAGGTCCATTGTATTTTCTTCTCAAATCTGTCAGGGTTCGTTGACTTCCCAGCCGAGATCCTCTTTTACCCACATTTACCTCAAGAAATTCTCCGTTAAGGGTATGTTTTATGAACATAGAATTGGGATGTTCACTGTCAAACTTGAAACAGCGCACTTCATTAAATTTGACGGCCTCCTTATCTACGGTAGATTGTTTTTTCGTAATAGAGATGGAATCAAATGCATAAAAGTCATGTTGTTCCAATAAGACTGTGTCAAATGGGCTTTTTCTGTTGGATTTCTTAACGATATCCACCCAGTCTTCTGGACAGTATACCTGCTTGATGTACCTCTTATGCTTCTCAATGATGGCAAAGTCTCTATCTGAAGGCAAGTGAGTGTGGCCAGGAATAAGGAAACGGTGCTCTATGGACTTGAAGAATCCTTCGCGAACAAGTTGCAACCACAAAGACATGATTACCCAGTTTTTGTTCTGGCCTCCACAGTTATCAGTGAAAACTACCAAGTGCTCTTTAGTGGAAGATATACCTTGTAAGTATTTCAGCAGGATGCTTGCAATCTCTTCACTTCCCCTTTTTGCAGTAGTTTCTGCCCACAAAAACATGCTACCTTTGCCAGTGACACAATCGTGTATGCCGAGGTTGTACGTCCAAGCCTTTCGTAAATAGAAGGCAGGACCCACAGTTAGCGAAGGCGTGGGAAGAGTCTGCTGTAAATCAAATGATATTATACACGTGGAATTTTTCGCATTGTCTGATACCTCTTTTTTCAAGCTATCCTGCATGGCAAGTGCTCTCGTCTGATGAAGCTGCAGTTGTGTTTTAAATTCATTGAATTCCTCCAGGTTTTCTTTATTTGCTTCCATTTGATTATTAAGGAAGTCGCATGTATGACAAGTATCACTCTTGGGCAGCTTAAATCCTATATTGTAATCAGAACAGAATATTCGTCTATACCGATCTTCTTTTACTGGTGCTATTCCACGTTCTTTGCACCACTCAACATAATAGTCCTTGTAGAGAGTAGATATGTTGAGGTCGTGGTTTAGAAAAACTCTATTTGGATTAACTTTCCGACTGTAATGGCTCACATATTTCGGAATGGCTTTAATATGGTCATGAACAGACTGAACTCTTTCTGCAGAAATTTTGTTGGGTCTGTTTTGATGTTTGCCAATACCGTCCCTTTTTGGAGTTGTCCTGCCTTCAACAATTTGCTGAGCGATAAGTTTTAATCGCTTACTGGAGTTTTGAAGTCCATGGACCGATAAAAATTCAGTCTTACATATTTGAATGTCAACTCCATTTACTTTGACAAAATATTGGTTCGTTACTCGTCGAGCCGATTCCGCGCGTTTAGTTTTTTTTTTGTAGCTTCTCTTTTTAGGTATAACCTTCACAGTAGAAAATAGATAATATGTATTCTGTTCGTCATACGAGTTCAAGTCCCAAAATGCATGGAATATAGTAGAAGCAGTTTCTTGGAGCAGTTGTCTGCAGTTCTTTTTGCACTGACATGGTGGACCTAATACTTTAGACTCTCGTTGTCGACCTTTGAAATCTATGTATGACTGTGGCCAAGATTTCTGCGTGTTTTCGATTTCACTCTTGCTCTGCCTTCAATATTACGTTTTCTCCATCTCGATTTATTTGGTTTTTCTGGAGTAAACATCTTGCCTCTGCTTACAGCAACCTAAAAGCCATTTTATTGTTACAAAAAAACATCATTTGACGAATGCCTATTTCAGTTGATTATCATAATAATAACTAAAATTATTTGTGACAGTAAATCTCAGTTCTATTTTGCAAAAGTTATCGCTATTCCCGGATACTGAAAAACGTCACAAGACACAGACATCAATTTAATTGGCGAAGAAGGGCATAAGCCACTTGCACAAAATTACATATTTTTATCATGTGTTCAGGAGTTATTTGCTGTTAAAAATGGCCTCTGTAAATTAGGATTACGATATACTCTGAGGAATGATTAGTCTGAAATCATAATCTAGTAATACTGCAGAAGTAATATTAAAAAATTGCACTCCTATGTGAAAAAAGCATAAGCCACATCTATAACGGCATTAAGGTCACAAGCCACAAGTTTATTTATTCACCTGAGTTTCTCGTTCGGAGTCACTGTCAGAACTGCTGCTAGTCGGATTATAGTCTCTGTCCTTTACACTATCATCTGATCCAAATTCAGAACCATCTTCGCTCTCCGAATCACTAAAACATCCATTATTTTCACCCGCCAACAATTTCCGCTTGGCGTCCATCTTGAAATGTATGTGGCTTATGTCCTTTTCGGCGTAAAAATTTGTAGACTAAACCAATCTGTCAAAAACGCTCTTCATGGATTATAGCGACATCTACCAGCGGATCATCAAACAAATCAACTTCAGACATAGATACCTACTCAACGAGTTCGCTCGTATGGAAATCTAATTTTTCATCAAAATGTGGCTTAGGTCCCTTACTGCCCCAAGCCCTTCAAATAATATATATTTAATTTTTTTTGATATTTTGTTTTTGCATTCTACTGCAAAGTCCTTAGAAACGTATTTCTTTTATTTTTTCAAAATATTTCTTTTTGTTGAATGCAAGTTTTTATTATCGTCGTAAATTTTACGATGGTCCTCCGTATCAAAGTATTTTGAAACAAGTCTCGTAATCTAGGGTTAATGCCTCTGTTGTTTTAAACACTGCAGTTCACTATAGCAAAAAGGTTCGTGGAGAGCTTCCCAATATACTTAAGGTATTATGATGGCTTGTCCGAGGCATTTAGCTTTGTCACATTGATATCCCTCTAATTCTTTGAGATACGTCACAATTATCATATGTTTCAGCGTCCAAACTGATTTGGTAATCTGGGAGAAATACAAAAAATATCTAAACAGACTGATTGCATTACGCGACTGGTCGGAGTCTCGTCATGATAAAATAGGGTAAACGTCGCATTTATCAGGGATGTCATTAACCGCTTATCTAGTCTTCAGTCCGGTTCTGTGTCTGAGTAAATGCTCTCTGCAGCGTGCGTTGTTATGGAGCCGCAGGCAAACTAGCTAAAACCAAGGCCACCACAATCATACCTTCATTGCTTTAAACCTATCATTATACGAAATAACAGATTTATAAAGGCATTCTCATCGTGACCTCTTACAACAGGTACAACTCGCTAGAGGTGTTCAAAAAATTACTATTCGTTACCAGAATACTCCTTACGCTAGTGTACTGGAAGTATTAAATACCTTTAGTATTTTTTTTATTTATGATTTCATCATGAAAAACCGTTTTTGCGATAGTAAAAATGGTGTTGGAGTCTAACAATATTAGTAAATTACACCGAAATAGAATAATTGTAAAGTTTGGTTTTATTGATGCAAGTAGTTCAAGGGATTATTTAAATCATGGACGCATATTTTTTATTCGACAACAAAGAATGAGAAAACATGCTTTTTGGGATTGAATGGAAAGTGTTGACAGGAACGAAAAAACTCTTCAAATAAGATCTTTAGGTATTTGTGAGATCCACAGAATGAGACCACACGTAAAAAGATCCGACTAAAAGTAAAAAAGTTATGGCCGAAAACCGAGGCAAAATTCAGGTTATGGCTTTTGTTGCTAATGCCACGATAATTTCATGCAGCTACTTGGAATTATCCAAACCTGTAGGCTTCATACTTCTAAATAATCACAACAAAATTGGAGTCGATTGGTCAAGTAGTTTTTGAGAATTTCTAATTGTTTGTCCAGCCATCACTACTAGCTTACATTTTATAGCGAAATACACGAATTTACCTTGCCGGCATGAATCGCAAACCATTCCGAAAGTTAATTGTTATTTTTATGCGAACAACGAAGGGAATAAACAATTAGAATTCTCAAAACCTGCATCTTGCCTCGGTTTGGACTCATTCTGTGAGTCTCACAAATACCTAAAAATCTTATTTGAAGAGTTCTTTCGTTCCTGCCAACACTTTCGGTTTAATGTGTGTTGTAGAATAAAAAGTTTTGCCACAAAAATTGGTGTAACCAGTTTATGCGGCCATGATTTAAATAAAACCGAACTTTACAATTATTTCGCAAACCATGGGTCTTGTTCCATATTTTGAGAGTGGCTTTATTAAAAACCAGATCATGACCTTATTTGAATACCTGGGTTCCCAATAAAGCTAACGGCATGTTTCAAAAAATAAATATTTTTTATATGAAAAGAAGTTTTCGAAGCTCTCTGCTACTACTTATTCACATACCTAATTAAACATTTAAAATTTCATGATCGTTTCGCAAATATTTATGGAGCTACAGATATCCAAATGTTAACGTTGCCTTATTTGGTACAGGTACCTTAGAATGTAAGGGTAATCCCTATGTGGAATCTGTGTCATGGTGGTATCTGCCGACCTCGAGCAGTTATAGGCCAGAAGACATAGGGGTCTTTATGGTATTCCGACGTATTGCTTAAGGATGTCCGCAGCTTTAGCTAACCATTGATAGCTTTGGGGTGGATTTCACCAGGATTGTCAAATCAACAGTCCGTTATTCTCCACCTATAACAACAAATTTTAGCTGACAGCTTGTCATTGAAACATCTCCAGCTTATTGGATATTAAGATATTACATATGATTTAGTCAAAATTTAAAAAAGTGTTCGATTTTTGAATAAAATTCATGTTTTTATTTAATATTGTCGATTGTTTATTCATGTTTATATTATTTTCTTCAATTGATATACGATTTTACTGATTCAACATCACCTACCGCGTGTTCTTTTCCTATAAACCTCATGCAGATAGCCATTAAGCACCTACTTGATGACAGGCTCTACCAAAAATTTCATAGATATTGCTCGTTTCCAAACATTCATTCATTTACTTGCCGTTCATTAGTACCATTATAGGACCGTCGATTGATATTCCTACAAAACCATTTAGGATTTTTGATATCCATACATCCATAGTCAAATATTTTTTGGTTGTTCAGGAACTGAACAAACATCCACACTATATTTACAGCGATTAAGAAATACTCAAATATATGTCGTAAAGCTACTAGCCAACGTAAAACCGGCAAAAAAATAGAATTTGCAATAACTTTCTTGTTTCACTGAGTCCACATTCTAGGTTATATTTATATTAGACATTATTTGCATAACAGCTGATTATTACATTTCAAAACTCCGCAACGAGTGACACATGTGTGGGATCCGCCAACCCTTGGTCCCAGTGGAGTAAGCTCCGTCAACTGTTGAAATATACTCTATGCCTTACAATACTATACGTGGAATTTTTCCCAAAATCGTTGCACAACACTTGAGAAAATGCAAATGAAAATTTAAAATTATTTCCATGACGCCGCAAAATAGCTCCGACGGTACCTCGGGTTATACATCTTGACAGTAGGTATGTTCGATACGATCCTATATTTAGAAGTATCGATACATTTCACGAGTATCGTCATCTTTTGATCCGGACTGTGTCAGAAAGAGTGACTTCAGATTACTTTTCTTCTTTATTTCCTTTCGCTGGATATCCATAATTTTATTCCAATATTTTAGAGTATCGATACTTCCTGAAACGATAAGAATCGATACATAACGATACTTTTCATTGATCTTAACATCCCTAATCTTGACAACTTGTCGTTCTTGTCAACTGGGCTGCAGGGTGCGGTGTTGCATCTACTATCTTACATTTTGCTAAAATCTTATGACAAATAAAAGCTTCAAATGAGATATTGACGAATATAAACGGATTTGCATAGAATTTAGAATATAAATTCATATTGCAAATTTCAGATTGGCTATGCATGGACTTGAACCGGATTTTTCGGTATTTTTACCGAAAAGAGAATAGTTACCGATAACAACGATTTTTCAAAATAATTTAAATATTTCTATGCCGAAAATAAAGCTAAGAGTTAATTTTATGTAGTCTTCATAGTTTTATGCATATGCATATACACTCAGGAAGTCGGACACATGAGAGGCGTAGATTAGGGTTGCCTATGATTACGTACGCACATCTTCATCCCTTACTCCGCTTGCCCTGAATTGATTTTTGTGCATACAAAAGGTACATACCGGTAGATTACCGTCATTACCTTATACCGAATTCAACGACACTATTTACCGATTCCGTTTTTTCGTCGGTTCGGCAACACTGCAGATGTGCAGATCACTTTAAAAGCAATTGATATCCCAGACGTGTTATAATAATAGAAATAACAAGAAAATAAAACAATGTTTGGAGATATATTTTCATAAATATGTATTTTTGATTCTGACTTATAATATCTAGACGATGAATAATAGGTGGATGCGGATACTTTACAAATATCGATGTTTTAGGACCCAGAAATGCAGAGTGTGCTGTTTGTTTACATTTGGTGTTGATTTCTAGATCATCAATTGGCAAAAATTGTTTTTGATGTAACAAAAGGTGATGAACCAGTTGGAATACGTTTTATATCCTTTTTTGCAAACTAACAAAAATCGGTACATTTCTACAGGTACGTATTATATACATCACCGTGTACGAGATATACAGACAAAACTACATTGTCTTGCATGAACAGTCGTCAAAAACGGTGAAAACGTCCTACCAAATATAATAGCTAGAAAATCGACCTATTATTTCTCGCATTTTCATTGGTCCATTTAAATAACTGACCGTCGTTTTTGAAATGATAAAAATTTGAAATTCCATGAAAGTTATCCTAATTCTAAATCACAAAGACATATTACATCTATAATGTACTCTTATTTATAAGGCAACCGTTTTTTCACGACTTTATTCTACATTTCAATAGAGATCACTGATATTCAGATACCTTTGGCAGCTTCCGTCAAATGGCATTTCGATAAGGTATTTTCCCATTAGTCCAAGGGACCGTTAAATATTAATGTTGGTGAAATTGGCCCTAAGATAGCTATTTGCAGATTCCTGACCAGCTTCACTATACCATTTTAAAAGGAACCGCTAACCCTGTTTGGCCGCTACTGGAGTCCATGGTCCAACGGAGCGATGTTGTCACATCTATATGCCCAAGCCACGCGACGAGAGACAGTGATATCAGGTTTAGAGAGAGATGCATAACAGGTCGGGCGACTCAACCCTTGGCTTTTATTTTAATTGTTTTTCAGATATGATCGATAAATCTCTCTACGACTTATTAAAAACCTGTTATTTTGAGCCTACGTTGTTCGTAGTAGTACCAGTAGTAGAATAGATTGATGCTTGTCATGTCGTACTCAGCCGGGGCCCGAGGAACATGACCGACAGCTTTTTTATGTTACATATATTTACTGACGATTATTAAATATTGTATATACAGATTACTTTCGCTATTATTATTTCTTACCACTTTTTAAAGATCACGCTGGATGATATGCGAAATTTCCATTTTCGTCTTCAGTTGTTCCAAGCTGTGACAGGTAAGTTGGGGCGCTGATTTTGAATTTGGCCGCCAGAAACTCTAAAAAAAAATGGAGTATGGAAATGGTCCCTTTTGGGCTATCCCCAAAATTTGCAACTTAATCACCCAATTTACCCAAGGAATAAGTCAAGATTGCAGATATGTAAGGATATTTGTTATATTTTTTCTCAATAGTTTCTGACAGCGGAAGGAGTAGCGGTCTTCGGCACCGCAAATTTCTCAAGCTTCAAGTTGGTCGCCTCTATGACATTTTTGGATTGAAATATTTTAGAACATAGGCATTTGAAACTAACATCGACATTTTTTTCTTATTTTAGTACCTGACTGTTTTTTAAAAGCCCAAATTTTGCGATTTTGACACTTTTGTCCAAAATTTAACCGTTTTCGAATATTCAAATTCCTACCTCTATATGTGCACCTGGCGCTACACTCTCTACTTCAAAGACAGCAATAAGCAAAAAATAAACCACTCAATAGTTGTTTTGGAGTCGACAAGCGATTTTCAAAAACGCTAAGCACAAGGCCAACAGAAATACCATGTTTTACACGCTCATCGTATGCAACCTGAGGGACTTCAAAACGCGTTTTTAACAACGAGAATATGGACCCTGATATTAGACTACGGATCCCCATACACATACTCGCGGACTCTAGGGGC